TGGAATTAAGATTAAGCTAAGGAAAGCTACGAGACAGTATTTTCTTAAAACCTAAAAATATGTTGGCATGGTGGCTCATGCCTTTAATTCCAGCACTTGGGAGGCAAAGGCAGGCAGATCTCTGTGAGTTTGAGGCCAGCCTGTTCTGCATACTAGCAAGTTCCAGGCTTCCAGCGAGTTCCAGGCTTCCAGGCCAGATTAGGCTACAGAGAGACCCTGTTTCAAAAACACCAAAATAAATAAATAAATAAATAAACCAACTTAAAAATAACGAACCTGTTCCTGTTCTTCTTGGTACTCTAAAACTCTGAACAAAATTTCTTAGAATAGCTTGTATTAATGTCTTACGAATTTTTCATTCTTTATTACAGAATGAATCAATATAAATAAACTATTATCAATTAACTGAAGTATAGTTAATTTTAAAATTCTGAAATATGTTCTGAATGATTGTGTAATTTCCAGGATCATGCACATGGAGCGCCACAGTGTTACAGTCAAATGCATCTGCATTCTGAGACACAGATATAAGCCAGAAGCATAGAACTTTTAGCAGTGTGTGGCTCTGCAAGACTTTGGCTTGCATTTTCTTTCTGCATGGAGACACTGGCAAATTCATAGGTAATATCTGACTTCTCTTCCTGCTCTTCTGACAATCAGATATGGAGGAAAGCCAAGTTAAGCTGGGCTCTGGTCATCTCCTGACAGGTCTCACATTCAGCCCCTCTCAGTACTTGCTTTACTCTTTATCTTCTTTTTTGAGATCATTTTACCCCATGACCTTTTGCCCTTTTAAATGTTCAGCTTCAGAAATTATAAACATTGACATGATTCACTGCAGTTTGCCTTCTTAACATTCAGGATAACATTTTTTTTGGAATTTAAATTCAGTGAATGTCTGCAATAAAACAATTCAAAATACCATTAAGAACAGATACTACACTTTACCCCATGACCTTTTGCCCTTTTAAATGTTCAGCTTCAGAAATTATAAACATTGACATGATTCACTGCAGTTTGCCTTCTTAACATTCAGGATAACATTTTTTTTGGAATTTAAATTCAGTGAATGTCTGCAATAAAACAATTCAAAATACCATTAAGATCAGATACTACACTTGATCTTAGCCAAAAGGTTTCCATGCATTTTTTAACAGATACTGAAAAAAAAATCAAAC